TAGGGAAAGTATGTAGTTATTTTAAACTATTGATTAAGATAACATGCACATGTGAAAGAGGACTGTAAATTGAAGTGCTATATAAATCAGTGTTTTCCAACTTTGTTCCTGGGGTCCGTTCTTCGTACCTCGCTTAAATGATCTAAGATTATTTGGCAGATCCTGGATCTTTTAATCTTGATAATTGATCTCTCGCTAATTTGGTTCTTCAAACAAGTTCGCGAATCAGATTAGTATGTCTGGATAAACTGATCTGAGATCGTTGACATGATGCTGAATTGGTACTAATGGGCCCAAAGTGTGCCAAGAAAATATCCCCCACACCATTATACTACCATCACCTGCCTGAACCGTTAATAGAAGGCAGGATGGATCCATGTTGTTGATGACAATTTCTGACCCTACCATCCGAATGTCGCAACAGAAATCGAGACTCGTAACTCAAAAATCCCAGTAGATCAACAGTTTCTGAAATACTCCAACAAACATGGCACTTTCAAAGTCACTTAAATCACCTTTCTTTCCCATTCTGATGCTTGGGTTGAAGTGCAGCAGATTGTCTTGACCATGTCTACATGCCTAAATGCATTGAGTTGCTGCCATGTGATTGGCTGATTAGAAATTTGCATTAACAAGCAGTTGGACAGGTGTACCTAATAAAGTGGCCGGCGAGTGTATTTTGCACAGTAGGTCTTCCTTATCTGACCCATTCGTTTTGTCGTAATTCGACTTCTTATCAATTAGAAATGATCAGACCGGAGGTTTTGAATATCAGAAAATAGACTTTATTCTTCATAATAAAGCCGAGAAAGAGCAGAGCAGACCCCAGAGCATTCTGAAGTCTCTCCTGGACACTTCCTATCTCTGGTTCTCTCTTTCCAAAGTCTCTTCTGCTCCTTCTCGGCTTTATTATGAAGAATAAAGTCTATTTTCTGATATTCAAAACCTCCGGTCTGATCATTTCTAATTGATAAGTCGAATTACGACAGTTTCAGGTTTTGGAGTATCTTCTAATGTTCTGATGAGTTGATTCGGGTGTGTTTGATGAGTTGTGTGCCTTCAAGGACAGGGTTAGGAAACACCTCTATAAATAAATCCAAATGCTATCAGAAATCCTGTCAATATGAATCCCAAAGTCAGTTTTGATCTATCGGTTTTAAATTTCTGAATTCAGAATTCACAGGAGTGCTCATTTATGTGGCAAAATTAAAGACTAAAAAGTTTAGATGTCTTTTTTTGGCCTGTTTTGTGCTTTTCTAGTCTTTTAAATGTCTGTCATTTTGTACAACTGTTTGGACAGAACTTTAATATAAATGCAGTATTTAATACAAGGCTATACGCTTTGTTCATACTAAGGGTTATGTAATGTATTATTGTCTTTTGTTTGTTTGTTTTTTTCCTATAATGATGGTGACTTTTTTCAAACACACTAGTATAATTAATAACAATATTAATAACTGCAATTAATAAGTTAACACTTCTACGTAACAACAGAAATACTAACATTTGTTATTAAAATCAACTTGTCATTTTTAAGTCAAAAACTCTCACACAACAACTCATTTATCAGAGGTTGCCAAAGTGGAATGAATCACCAATTACTCTGGCACAAAATTAAAAATTTTTTGTGTGTATGTGTTGTATACCCTTCTAGCCGCACAAAACACCCTAACCAAATAACACTACACTTTTTCTTTCTTTCTTTCTTTCTTTCTTTCTTTCTTTCTTTCTTCCTTTCATCTCTGTCTTTTTGTCTCTGCGGTGAGAGAGAGAGAGAGTGTGCTCTAGTATACAGCTGTCTATGGGCCCAGCCAAATGTAGCTGCCTTCAGCACTTCTCTCTCATTGATCCTGCTAAGCCGGGGGAAGTTTAGCTGACATCATCTCTTCATCTGTGCTCCCATGTTCTTCTAATTCATTATGTACATGAAGGGCTGCCGCACGGGTGCTGCGCTCACCATGCTTTTTTCCTTCACTGAACATGTCTGCACACAATGGCTGAAAAACAAGACAAACTCTTGAACGCACAGAAGTCTCGTGCATCTGTCGTCCATTGCATCACGTCTGGATTAATTATTCATTCGGTTATGCACCAACCTGATCCTCCCTCAAGAGCATTTTGTTAGACAGTATTTTTATTTATGAATATTGATATTTCATATAGTTTTTTTTTTTATTTTGTTCCATGATGTTTGATATGAATTTTATAAATTTATATGAATTTTAATTTCATAATGTTACTTTACAATGTTTTAGATCTATTATAAATGTTATTATAATTTCATTATAAAGTTCTATTTTTTTGTACAACATTAACATTTTTTAGTGATATATTTAAAAATCAACTATAAAAACTACTTGTCTTCTAATATAAATTAAAAAAATATATTTTCATTACTTTATATTTTTGACTTAAATGTATATACAGTGCTTCCCACACATAGGGTCCTATCATACACCCGGTGCAATGAGGCGCAAGGCGCAATGCAATTGTTGTTTGCTAGTTTCAGCTCGGCGCAAGAGTCTGGTCTAAAAAAGGAGCCGTGTTGAGGTGCATTGCTGGCGCATTGCTATTTTAAAGAACTATTATAGATGGCACAATAGACCAGATCAAAGCTGGTGGAAAGTCCAGCGCAGAGCGCATTAGTTGTGCACCTTGCTTAAACATTGCTTAATACACACAGGATGTACAGCAATACCCAAATATCTTTACAAATGAAAAAGAATTAAAAGATTACAATATTACAATTTTTTTTTATTTTCAAACCTACATAAATATAAAAAACACCGCCTCCATGCCTTCTTCGTCTCGGGGTTCTTTTTTTTATTCATGAAAATTTGCTTTTGTTTAATGTTATTATTAGTAGCAGTATTATTCATTTTATGCATATTTATATTTGTTTTATTTTAAAAAAGCTTAGATTTGTCCACCTGTCTGGTTTTAGACCATATGGTCATAGCCTGTGTATTTGGAAATAACTCTATTATTATTGTTCATTTATTCATTTGCTGGAAATTAAAACTGAATTTATAAATGGTTTTGAAACAAATCTTTGCGCTTAATAAACTAATTATTTGATCAATTGAACGATAGATTTATCAGTGGAAAATTACCAGTTTCCTACTGCTGGTTCTGTGAGATCTGTCAACACTCCCACAGACACTCTCACTTGCTCTGCAGACCCACAGGGATGCACCTTTTGAGAAGTTGAAAATGTTTCCAACCCGAGTTTTTAAATCTTCTAAAATGTACTGGATTCTGGATTTTGTTTTTGCTTTCTAAACTTGTCGTCAATTACATGCGTTTTTGCATTAGGCTAACTTTTTATCTAAGTCTACTTTCACTTGGATACGCAGGTGACAGAGCACGCACAGCCACGAGAGCGAAAGACATTTTTAATAAAATCCTTCTTTAATCTGAACGACTCAGAAAATGCTTGGAGAGGATGAAATGACATCTAAATTGGCTTTACAAATTTTGGGCACCATTACAAATGGTTAATCAACTCATTTTCCTTATTTTAATAATATGCCATTTTTATTTTTGTAGTTATTATAATTTTTTATATTTGTTTATGTCATTAATTTCTTATTTTCTTTATATTGTATTAATTTGATGTGTTTATATAGACGTTTATGTTACTATTTTAGGTGTAAGTATGAATGGTGTAACATGTTTAATCCAAAAACCCAGATTTTCTCCTAAAATTGTCTGAGAAAATGCAAAAATTATGTAATTGTATAAGAAAAATACATAATATAATATAATATAATATAATATAATATAATATAATATAATATAATATAATATAATATAATATAATACTAGTAGTTTTTTGTTTAAGAAATAATTCTATGAATTATGTATTTTAAACTACATTATTATTTTAATGTATTTACTTTTTTATGTAAAATTAAAATACCTTTCATGGTATATCTTTGCCATGTACTTAAGTAGTTTTTGTTGTTGTTGTTCTTCTTCTTTCTAAGACAAAATACTATTAAAATGTGTAATGTTCCTTATTAACCTTGTTAAGCCTTTACATGTCACTTACAGCTGTATAGAAGTGTCAAGAAAAATATCTTGTGTAATATTATTTATTATTAATTATTATTATTATTATTTATTATTTATATATTTATTATTATTAATATATATTATTTATTAGTTAGTAGAAATAGGTTATTAAACTATTATGTTTAGAAATGTGTTGAAAAAAATATCTCTCCGTTAAACAGAAATTGGCAGAAAAATTTAACAGCGGGGCTTACATTTTAGGTTTTTTTTTTTATATATATAATAATCATTTTCATGGAAATGTACAGTAATGTTTAAAAATTAAAACAAGATGTTAAAAAACACTACTGGTTTATCTCTATTGGAAACACCACTGCATGAGCTATATTTCAGAGTTTTATAACACCCCACTTGTGACAGCATCTGGTCAGAGACTGGTCAGATGAGCTATTACGAAGCTCAAAATCCAGCTGGAGAAATACTGAGAATAGGATGAAAGCTGTAGCACCAGGGCTTGTGAGGTGAAAGATGAATGTGTGTCACGGACAGCAGTCCATCCTTGAGCACAGCTGTGTCACTACCATTTCCTCCACATGATGGACAGATGAGCACACCATCTTTACACTTACTTTCTCTCTCTCAGTACCTCTCTCTCTCTCTCTCTCTCTCTCTCTCTCTCTCTCTCTCTCTCTCTCTCTCTCGTTTTCCCTCAGGTCTTTATAGGCGGCTGCTCGGTAAATGCATTCTCTGGTCTTCCCATGTCAGACTTTTTTTTCCCTCCCCTTTAAATCTGTATCCACACTTCCTGACAGCTTCCTTAATCTTCACCGCCACATACAAATGTTGGCAGAGCACAGGGAATTTGTAAAATGCCACCAGCTTGCCCTGATCTCCCACCTCACTTTTGCCCGCTGCACTTTGACTGTGTTTCAGAGCTAACGGAGCTGTGTTTGTGTTTGTGTTTGTGTGTGTGTCTGTTTCAGCAGGCGGACGATGTGGTACAGACAGACGGATCTCAGCAGCTTCAGCTCCAGCCATCAGACTCTTCGGAGAAGCAGCAGCCCAAACGGTTACACGTCTCCAACATTCCCTTCCGCTTCCGAGACCCAGACCTCCGGCAAATGTTCGGGGTGAGTTGCATATTATGAACTGGTGGGGACTTATTGTTGATTTTGGTTCAGCTCAGGTTATTACTTTTGTGTGTATTAGAGTTTTAGATATTCTAATTGTAGCCTTTTTTCCTTAAAGGGAAAGTTCACACAAAAATAAAAAAATTATTTCCCTTCACTTGTTCCAAATCTGAATAAGAACACAAAGAAGACATTTTGAAAAAAGTTGAAAACCTATAACCATTGGTTTCCATAGTATTATTTCTTCTATCTTCTTCCTACTTTCTTCTATATATTTTCTTTTATGTTTCAAGGAAGGTTTATAAGCGCTTGAGGATGAGTAAATAGTAAGTTTATTTAAATTTTTGGATGAACTATCCCTTTTAGTTAAGCATAGTTGTGATAAACGCATAGACTTGTTAATGAAACATACCAAACCCAATAATAATAATAATAATAATAATAATAATAATAATAAACAAAAGAAGAAAAAAAGAAGAAGTAATAGAAGAATAAAGTGGAAAAAAGAAGACAAAGAAATAAGAAGAATAACAAGAGGAGAAAAAGAAAAGAAACTAGAAAAACAACAACTTTACAATAAAAATAATATACATAGAATATAAAAACAAAAAATATGTACAAAAAACAGTACAATAATAGTAATAATAATGATAATAATAATAATAAATTATTATTAATAATAAGATTGAATGATCAAGAGGTGGACAGATAAATGTGATATAATATACTCAATATTAATAATAATTTTGAGGAGGTGGAACTGTTTAACAGTTGCATTGTGATGCATTTAAAAAGGATGATGTGACTGTTTTTAAACAAAAGAAAACTATTAGATTCAAGAAATGAAATTAATTATATGAACAAAGTCCAATTCCCGAGTGAATAAATGATTGCTTGATTCCCAAGCTAATGAATCATATCACCCTTTTTGGTGAATTTGAATTTCAAAGGGCATGTCTAGTCTGATTTCCTAGCTAATGAATCATATAAGGCGCTTAATGGTGAATAAAAATATGCAACCAGTATAATCTGATTCCCAAACATTAGCAATTTTTACTGAGTCAAATCCTTTCAGTGCAACCAATCTCATCTGATTCCTAAACAAATGCACCCTGTGAGCTCATGCATGAATGAATACCTGAATAAATAATAATATCATATTTATTTTACCACTTTATTTTAATTTACCAACATGTTTAAACAAAATATCTGATCTATTTATAATAAAATAAACATAAGTGTTAAAGAGACTCTTACACTTGAGAGAAAAAAAATGTTACAAAGTATGCAATGGTAAAGCTTAAATACTGAAAAATCAAAGCAAACTTTAAGGTGTGAATAATAATGATACAGTAAACCTCTAACTCTGACAATAACACAAATTATTATAATCAAATCTGAGCTTTCAAGAAAAGCCATCATTATACAAATAAATATTGCAACATTACTAATTGTGAAGTATAATGGCTATAATACAATATTATATATGTTAGGCTGGGATGCACAAGAAAAGAAACCAAAAAGCCACTCTGGCAACATCCTTAAATCCTTTTTTATTTACAATCGCTGCTGCTAGCCATGGCACTCATTTTTGCATGTGTTGCTATTCTGACTTTAAGTTACAAGTGTGTGCACATGGATTCCTTAACTATTTGAAAAGGACTTTGCGTTTGCGCTCTTTTGGCATCTCTCGTAAACTAGGCGACCATCAAACATTTTCTTAGAGAATGACAAATGAACAAACCATTGCTGTGGTTTCAATACAATTTTATGGAGAAAAGTAAAAAGCACTGCAGTGTTTGGTTGCACTGTGTTTGTCTGAGGTAATTAGTCTGCCACCATAACTGAATTGTGTATATTCCATACAAAGTATGACGCAGATTGGTTAGTTCTTCTTACATGAATCGCGATGCGCCCATAGCATTCGGAAAAGTGAGATGTTTTCACCTAGATGCGGCTGGAAAATGTGCTTGGTTTGCTTCCAAGGCGTGTGCTCAGCAGCCACATTTTAATAAAAATATAGCCTTTCATTGCGTAACTACATACCTAATTGTTTTTTATTGATATTGACAATGGGGTTCGGTCAATAAATATCAATACCCATTTTATCGCCCAGCCCTAGTAAATCCAAAAAGTTTCAAGTTCCTAGTTTCAATCAAAAAATGCTCAACACTACAACAAGCTCAGTAATGGTCGGTCATTATTCAGTATTTCATCCGCGACTACTTTTCCTCAATCTGCAAAGCTCTCTTGCCCACCATAAAAAAAAACTAAACTAATGAACGACTCGAAGCATTTCTTTAGAAACATCTGTGCCTGTCTCCGAGACTGGAGGACTCGTACACTTAAACTCCAGCATACCTTTGAATTAACAGCAGCCAGCAAGGGATCTGCGTTAAACACTGGCAGCTTGTTACTGGAGGCTACAGGCAGTGTACGGAGGAGAGAAAGAAAAAAAAACATTGTTGGTCCCAGCTTGTTAAAACCCAGAGTCTGTGTTTACTAAGGGCACTGTATAGCAAACAGTAACACTTAAACTGGTGGAGGACTCTGGGTACAGGCTGACTGCTGAGTCTTGAGAACATCTGTTCCTGGTGCTCTTTGTTCCCTGTAAGAGAGGCTGTCCGCTCCTCTCCCGCTTTTTGCCCAGTGTTGATATGACGAGCAGGGAGCCACGCGATGGTCCCACCAGTGGAGACGTAATTAATAGCGCTCCTCACTGTGGTTAAAAACTAGAAGTTTATCCTCATTAGGTTTGTGTTGGCTGACAGCTCCGATGCGAAAACAGGCATATGTGTGACCAAGTGTGTGTATGTTGGTCTGAAGAGACTGCTGCAACTTGCTGTGAAGTCTCTCAGGGACCCAGGGGTGCAATTATCCCGTGCCATAGATAGACTGGTGGGAGAGGATGGGATGGACAAGCGCTGTGCCCCTCTAAAGTTCCAAAAAAAAAAAAGTGTAAGAAAAGGCAAGTCTGAGAACACTAAGATGAGGCAGGAGCGCAAAGGGAGAAGATCTGCAACTATTGACTCTGTAAAACTTCTCAAGGGTTTAGCCCAAAACTGTTGACTTCTTCAAACTCCATTTCCCCCATTTTGGTACTTCACAAAGAATGAGATTTTGTTTAGTAATGCTTAATATTTTCTTGCAATTCATCAAAGAATCCTGGGGGGAAATAATTATCATATAAATATTAAGTAGCACAGCTGTTTTTATCATTAATAATAGTAATAAAAGTGATAACTGAAGCACCGTATGACACTAAATCCTGAAGTAGTAATGGCCTCTGAAAATTCAGCTTTGTCATTACAGAAATCAGAGAGTTGCAGTTAATATGTATGTGTTTTGAGAAAATAGATAGATAGATAGATAGATAGATAGATAGATAGATAGATAGATAGATAGATAGATAGATAGATAGATAGATAGATAGATAGATAGATAGATAGATGATAGATAGATAGATAGATAGATAGATAGATAGATAGATAGATAGATAGATAGATAGATAGATAGATAGATAGATAGATAGATAGATAGATGGATGGACGGATGGACTGATGGATAGATTTGAGAACTAATAGTAATAGATTAACATCTAAAAGATTTATGTGATGGATGGATGGACGGACGGATAGATAGATGGATGAACGGATGGATAAAGAGATAGATAGACAGATAGACAAATGGACTGATGGATAGTTTAGAGAACTAATAGTAATAGATTATCATCTTGAAGATTTATGTGATGGATGGATGGATGGATGGATGGATGGATGGATGGATGGATGGATGGATGGATGGATGGATGGATGGATGGATGGATGGATGGATGGATGGAAGGATGGATGGATGGATGGATGGATGGATAGACGGAGGTAGGATGGATAGATAGATAGATAGATAGATAGATAGATAGATAGATAGATAGATAGATAGATAGATAGATAGATAGATAGATAGATAGATAGATAGATAGATAGATAGATAGATAGATAGATGGATAGACGGAAAGACGGATGGACTGATGGACTGATGGATAGATTTCAGAACTAATAGTAATAGATTAACATCTAGAAGATTTATGTGATGGATGGATGGACGGACGGATAGACAGATGGATGAACGGATGGATAAAGAGATAGATAGACAGATAGACAAATGGACTGAGGGATAGTTTAGAGAACTAATAGTAATAGATTATCATCTTGAAGATTTATGTGATGGATGGATGGATGGATGGATGGATGGATGGATGGATGGATGGATGGATAGACGGATGTAGGATGTATAGATAGATAGATAGATAGATAGATAGATAGATAGATAGATAGATAGATGGATAGATGGATAGATGGATGGATGGATGGATGGATGGATGGATGGATGATAGAGTATTTCACTTACTTTGCCCTCAAAGACTGCTTTCTAAGCCATTTCAGATTTCTCAATTTTCCAAGATGGAAATTCAATTTAGAACAGCTGATTATGAAAACTGCATTTTTACGAGTCTTTTCCTCAATCGAGTACACTTGCGTGGGCCATAGTCAAACAAAGAGCGCCGATTAAAAAGCTCCATTACCCAACCTTATTCGAGCCTCATTTTATAATTAGAAAAAGACATCCAAACCAATTATACAGATGAGTATGTGGATTTAATGCTAGTGTATGAAATTGGTTTTAAAGCACCACCATGACGATTCCACACTTAGGCTGCGAAATTGTGCTTGCCAACTCCGACTCCTCCCATAACACTCCCCTGCATTGATTTGAGCGATCCTACAGTTGAGTGCGCACAGCATATGTATATACTAGCAATAAAAATGGCCCCCAGCTCTGGGGAAAGTTAGATTAAAACAGGTACCTTGTTATTCTGAATTAATAGACCGTTGTTCCCCTTAGCATTTCCCATAGAGCTTGGAATCTTCTAAAACATTGATCACCTATGGGAATGCAGAGGTCTACCTAGCATCTCAAACAAGATCAGAAACCCCATATGG